GAACGAGGTGGATAAAGTGATGATATTGGTTGTTAGCTTTCCTATTTTTGGTCAAATGCTACTTTTGGACATTCACCTTATGTCCATATTTATATTTTACCTGCTTAGATAATCAAAATGTCAATTTTCAGGGATGGCTTGCTCTCATTAACAACTTGGACACATCCGTTAATCGAATGGACAAACGAGGAAAGAAATTCCGTACAATACATGTAAAATTGGAGGAGCTTATCGAGAAAGCCGACTCCCTCCTTCTTGACTATTCCGACGTCATTGAACAACTGCGACGAATTGAAGTTCCGACGGAAATTCTAATCAAACCTGCTCCTTTGATGGTGTCTACCACTGCTCCAATCTCGGAGGAAAAATGTACATTGTTCGACTTCATTTCGAGGGCGGACCCCAACTCGTCTCTTGAGGAATTGCCTGATTTGGTTCAAGAAAAAATCAGGCAACTCAAGGAACACAATGTAAAAACTGTATATACAACACTGCAATCGGTTTATGATCAGTCCAAAAATCAGGAATTTCGAGATTTCAAAGGAATCAACAAGAGGTTTTCTCAACTTGAATTCAGTCTAAAAAGTTGCGAAGAACGGAAAGAGAAGGTGAATCGAATGGTAGCTGTGATCTTGGAAACTCCGAAAATCAACGACCAGAGCCGTCTTCCACCAATCATTGAGGAGCATCGCCAAGCAATGAATTCTATTTTCGAATGTTTTGCGGAATTCAAAAACATGGTCCGAGTTTTCGATCAGTCGAAACAGGAAATCTTAAAGAACTTGCGAACGAGAATGTCTGGTTTTGTAGTTCAATCTTATGACCGATTGCGAAATGTACTTAACGAAATTGTACAATTTGAATATAAAGGAAATGCTGTTCGAGTGCACATGGATCTTATTGGACAAATTCGAGATGCTCCCATCCTCTATTCTCAAAGTGTATCTGAAATTGTGCGCCGGCGACTTCTAAAATCCGAACTGGACGATTGGCACAATGAGCACTCTGGAAAATGTGCATTGTTCAGCTCAGATGAGGAAAAGACTCGAGAACAACTAGGACGCAAACTTAAGAAGCACTTCCTTCATGCTCTTTTCCCAAGTCTTTTTGATAGTTTGCCTGAATTCTACGTGAAAGCGCCACTCGAAAAATATGACACGGAATTGCCGAACATTGCCAAGGATTACATCAAAGATCTTCGGGAAGCACTGCCTGAGTTAGAACCATATCTGAAAGTGACACTACCAAATGTGGCTACCAAGCTTGGGACAAAGTAAGATTTCAATTTTTAGAAGGTGATAGTTAAATTGAAATTTTTTCAGAGGTGGCAAGCCACATCCACCTTTCGGACAAACTCGAGTGGAGAGCTTCTTGACAGAGGAGCCAATGAGGATGGCTCGGTCGCATTTCAACTACTCACCGGCAGCATGGCTGAGGTAATTTGCCGAAACTTGTTTGCAGATGTGTAACTCGCTTCATTTGAAAATTCTGATAAAGAAAATTGAAACGAACATTGTTTGGCATGGAAAATTTTTGAAAGCTCAAAATTCCCATACAATTTTTCAGGTTGACTACCATACTTAAGAGATCATGATAATGAGTAATTGACCAATAATTTTTAACTTTTCAGCGAAGACGGTGGCGATTCATCTCCAATTCCTCAACCACTGATGTGCCGCTCACCCGACAACGCTTTGCGAGAATCACAGTGCAGATCAATTCCATATGTTCCATCTTTGCAACAGCTAGAAGGCCTGGTATGTTCTCGAAGTGGCATATCGAAAATAAATTAATTTCCTTGTAGGATGGACCAGCACCCGGCACTTCAGCTCCAATCAGCATACCCAACGCTACTTCATCGCGTATCAATTTCAAACAGTCTGGACGCCAAATGAGTTCTCAAGATTTGCCACACGTTGGGTCTGCTGTTTCATCAGACACCTCACTCCTTGGACCAGAAACTCCTGTCAAAGCGGAGGATACTGTTGTTAGAATCGAGAAGCAACAAGAGGAGCTTCAGAAACATTCTGAAATGACGGAAAGTGACGAGAGTGATGAATTAATGGATGTCTACGAACACATTGACTACTCCGCTGATGAAATTCTTGTTGGCCTGTCCGATCAAACCGCTCAATTGGAGGATGCTGTTAAAAGACTTGGTATTATGCAAAACGTCGTGGCCAACATGCGACCTCGCAATGAGAAGCTGTTCAAATATCTCCATCAAACTGCACCACGAGACTTTGAACTCATCATTCATGATAGCGACAAGCTGAAGAATCGTATCAAAGAACTTGGGGAGAGCGTGGAAAGTCTGGAAATTGAATTGGAGAACAGAAAAAGCGCTGAAATTGGTCTAGAAACAAAAATGGCAGAGATGACAATTTCACACAAAAAAGAAATTGAAGAGACTCAAGCAGAATGCATCAAGCGGCTGTCTGTAGAATTTGAATTGATGACTGACAGTATGTCTCGGCAGAACAGAGAGCAAATGGAGGTAAGGGATTATTACAGTATGTTCAATCAGAGAAATACGAATTTCAGAGCAAAGACCGAGAGATTGAAGAACTTAAAGCAAAACTTGAGAAGCAAGCTACTGCTCACGAGAAGGCTCTTCGCAACGATCCACACACGGAAGAGTACAAACGCAATTTGACTGCTGAGATTCGGGCTGAACTCGAAAAGGAGTTCAAACAGCGAATTGAAGTGATTACCAAGGCAGTTGAGTGCAAAAAAGATGAAGCATTTGCTCGTCAGGAGAAGACCCTTGAAATCGAAAATCGTGTGTTGTCTTCTGAGAATGAGGTGAAATCGAAGAAGCTCGAAGCGATGAATGCTGAAAAAGAACAACTGGAAGCACTGATTCGTCAAATGCCAGAAGGAGAAATAATTTTGGAGGAGTTCAATGCTTTGAAGGAGAGCCAACCCTCTGTGCAGATCAAGGACAAATTCGGTGCTATCCGCTCCAGAATGGACAGAAGCATGGACTCTAAATGTCTCGATAACAACAAAGTATTCCTGATTGACAACATTCTCAAGATCAACAAACTGCAACAGTTGGTTGATGAAAGAACCAAGTTCAAAGAGGTCATCAAAAGCCAAGCTGGTGGAGACGAAGTTCTGAAATGCTTGGAAGCCTTCACCCCATCAGTTGCGGTTGACATGGAAAGCTTCTGGAAGGAGATGTCTGCTAACGCGGGAGGTTTTGATGAAGCTGGCAAGAAAATCAATAAGATCAATGAAGTTGAAATGGAAACTATTTGGCTTCAAGCACTGGTTCGGGCTAATCCAACAGGACCATTCATCAGAGATATTTCTGCGGAGATCCACAAATGTAACCATCAGAAGGACGTTGAGACAGTCACCACTATTTCAATGATGGATATTTTCAATGACCATGATAGAGAAGAAATCAAACAGTTGGCTCGCACAATGCAAATGTGGCTCAATGTGTATGTGACCAGTCAGCGAGCAGGGGGAAATTATGCAATCGAAGATTCCCCGAAAATTAGAGAATGCGCCTCTCGTTACAAGTCAAGTTAGTATTTTTTGTGTTTTTATCAGAGATCCTGCGTGCAACGACTGGAATTTACGTATTTACTTTTTACAGACGCAATGAAAATGTCTACCTACCAAGGAATGGAGGAGAGCTTCTACCAACCAATGGCCGCAAGCACCATCCACAACACCTCTGATCATTCCGAATCGACACTAGAAGTTGAGCGGACCAGTCAGAACTCTGTATGGTCCCAAACTCGTCTCTCGTTCCCTGCTATGAACCTCTTGATTTCTATTCAAGATATCAAAACGGGTTCTGCTGTTCTCATCATCTGGCATCAAATTCACAATGCATATGTCATTTTCTGGTAAGTCATGCATTATCAGAAAACCAATAAATTCATCAAATGTGCTTCAGCTCTAGTCAGCATCGCTTTTTTGTCAAGGAGTCGTCTATACGTCGTCTGGGCATCAACACTCAAGATCCATCAACCCGACGCAATTGGCTTATTGTGAGAGTTGTTCGCTCAGACAGTTGCTCAATTAAGAAACCTGTTAATCGGTTAGTTTATCAGAATATGGCCAAGTTCTTACAATTATTTTTCAGATACAACCTCGCAGTCGGTACCATCATTCGACGCGTCGAAGTTGAAGCTGTAAATATGGATTTTGAGGGGGATTTCCAGGGAATCTCAATTGCCTGATAAACGGTTTCTGTGTTAATAATTCCATCTTTTACTTGTAAATTCTTTTATTCGCCTTATACTTTATCTCTTTTTTCTGTTCGTTAATTCTTTCATATATGTCCTTCTTTCACTCTACGTGAGCTTTACCTGTTAACGCGCCTCGTCGTCCCAATTTGTTCTCTTTTTCTTATTTACTTTATTCATATATACTTCATCCAGGCAGCTTATGTTTTCGTGTCGTACTGGTTTTGTTTAGGTCAATTTTTGGAATTGTTTTTGGAAAAAAAAGTTGTTTGGTCCCAATGAAGTACTGACATCTAATGACATACGCCTTTCTAGTCTTTAGCACTTTGTCTCAAAAAATGTCTGTTTTTTCGAATTTCTCTGAAGAGTAAACATGATAGGCCAAAAATGAATCTTTGAAAAAAAAATGATGCGTTTTGGAAAACGGACTCGCGTGGTATGGCGCTGGAAGCAAAAAACAGTGAGGGTTAGCTGACGAGGATTCAAACAATTTTTAAAATAATTTGGATTTACAGTGAATTAGAATTTTTAAGTTGTTCAACAAGGCGGCGGCACAGAACTTGCATCTGGTTTCTCTAAATTTAGGTCGTTTTTTTCAGAAAGGATGAAAAATATAAGTACTATCCTTGTCCGGCGGTCCCCTTGTGAGAATCAAAGAAAAATCAACGAAACAATCAAAAACCGGATTTAGTGGTTTCGCTGCTAGACCAACGATGCGTCGCTAAATACATTTTTAAGCCGTAAAGTTCAGCGCGACCAAAAAAATTAATTCACAAATTCGTCGAAATTATATACCGAGAAAACGAAAATTCAGAAAACTGTTCTTACGGAATAGCTCCTGTACTACAAAAGATTTCTAAAATATGACTCGTTAGTTCAATGTACAAAGCTAAAATTGAAACAATAGTAGTACTCTACAGAATTCCCACCAAAGGCGTGTAGTTTGATAATTTTTCCCCCTTTTTTGTTATCAGTAGACTTGTCGATAATTCCTTTTAATTCTTCCTACTACAAAACCACCCCAGAGTAACACTTTTCAAACGCCGAAACCTTGCTCCGCCCCACTCTGCATTTGCGCTACCAGCCCGAAAACCATAGTTTGGCGCGACGTGGCCTATCAATTTCCTTGACCTGGCATCTCTCGTCGCGGTCTCACTGTCTGCGCCTCGTGTGTACTCAATTCTCCATACGTTGAATTGAAAGAATTTTGTGCACTTTCGGTCTCTATTCTTAGTTTTTTCCTCATTTTGTCCTCACACTGCAGCCTTTCGAGTGACGAGTGGTCAATTTGTCTTATCAATCGAGAACAAATTTATATAAAAAGAAGCACCCGCTTAATACCAAAAGCGGCGATAAAATCGCTAACATTTCAGTTGCTTGAATATTATCTTTGGGATCTTTAAAATGTTTAGTGACTCACAAGGTTTCCCGAATCTTTTCGGCAAATCTCTTTACTTATTTGCTGAAGGTTTTTGCACCTTCTCGCGGCGTTATTTTATTTCTTTCTTCTCCAACTTACCAGAATAACTTCATATCTTCCAGATAGCCATGACTTTTACTGCCAACTCTACTATTACTCTCTCCAACGATGTGAAGATGCCAGTCATCGGACTCGGAACCTGGCAATCGAGCCCCGCTGAGGTCAAGAACGCTGTTCTCGCCGCGGTTCGTGCTGGATATCGTCTTATTGATACCGCTTCGGTTTACCAAAACGAGGAAGCTATCGGAGAGGCTATCCAGGAGCTCATCGCTGAGGGAGTCGTCAAGCGTGAGGACCTTTTCATCACTACCAAGGTATTTTGAATCCCAGCAAAAATGACAACTTAATCATTGTTTTTAGGCCTGGACTCATGAGATTGCTCCAGAAAGACTTGAAGGAGCTCTCCGCTCTGCTCTCAAGAAGCTTCAGCTTACCTACGTTGACCTCTACCTCGCTCACATGCCAGCTGCTTTCAACGACGACATGAGCGCGCAACTCAATTCTCCAGTCGAGGATGTCTGGCATCAGTTCGACGCTGTCTACAAGGCAGGACTCACCAGAGCAGTTGGAGTCTCCAACTGGAATGAGGCTCAGATTGGCCGTGCTTTGGCTACCGGACTCACTCCAGTTCACAACTCTCAAGTCGAACTTCATCTCTACTTCCCACAACACACACACGTCGACTATTGCCACGCTCACAAGATAGTTGTCACCTCGTACGCCACTCTCGGAAGTCCAGGACGTGTTCACTTCACTCTCCCAACTGGACAGTAAGTTTTAGTAATGAGAATCAGTTTGATATAACAAATATTTCCAGAACCCTCGACTGGGCTCCAGCTCCATCTGAGCTCCAAGACGCTAACGTGCTCGCCCTCGCTGAGAAGTACAAGAAGACTCCAGCTCAAGTTCTTCTCCGCTACGGATTGGACCGTGGACTTGCCATCATTCCAAAATCTGTCCACGAGAATCGCATCAAGGAAAACTTGGAATTGTTTGATTTCGCTCTCACCAAAGAGGAAATCGAGAAGCTGGAGTCGAGCAAGATCTCGCAACGTCTTTTCCTCCAAGACTTGTAAGTTGCTCCTCGAGAGATTTTGTATTGTAAATTGTTATTTCTTAGCATGGCTGGACACCCAGAGGATGCTTTCCCAACTGAGCGCAAGTAATCGTCGAAACTCAACGCACAATAATTTTTCTCACAAAGTTCGATTCCCGATTTTCATTGCTTTGAACAATGCTTTAAATAAAAAATTGTCTGGAACTCGCCTTTTTTGTACGAAGTCACATGAGTAGGTTTTTTAGATTTGCAGAACACAACCAAAAAAAATCAAACTTTTTTTAGGATCCCGATTGAAATTTGAGGCTGGTGCGCAAAACTAACATTTTTAAAAAGTTAACAGTCTGGAACAAGGCACTCCCGGCTGCTGTTTTATTTCACGTGGAGCGCATATGCATATCTGAACTTTAGCCACTGAAAATGTGTCGGTTATCAAAGTTAAAAAATACGAAGTTTTAGAAAATGAAAAAGGATTAGTTTCAATATTGATTTTTTTCCTGACAATATCTGCCTGAGTTTTTTAAAATGTGTAGTCTCATTCTTGTCTTTGAGCATGTCAGCAAATGAAAGTTAGAGTTTTTTTCATTCGGTCTATATTCACGTTATTATCACTCTATATTTTGTATTTTCCTACCCTTATTTAAGGAATGTGTTTTGAAAATGCAAAATTATTGCAGCTTCGAACCGTGCCCATAAAACGAACGTAAGATCGCTTCCTTTAAGTTTTCCGAAACTTACGATCTTTTGGTTTCCCAAGCTTACCAGTTTCAAAATCAAGAATTCATACATGTGCCTCAAACTATTCTTCCGTTACATAGAATTCTATAAGTTTTGATAAATTAATTTTTCAAACAGAATGAACATTAGCAGCTATTAGCTGTACGAATTTTGCCGGTTTAGAAATCTCCGGATCAAACTAATCAATTGACTTGAGTATCTTATTTTTGAAACGAAAGTTGAAAATCATCTCAAAAACTAATTTGATAACTATTTGAATTTTTTGGTTTTTCTTATCAGACAATGTCATTCGACGCTTAATCTATGCTTCGAGATTGAACTTGATAGAGCAGTTTGAAGCACTAATCATATCGAGTTTGCTGCTCTCTGCCCTAAAACGGTTTTTGTTTTCTCTTCGCCTCCGCTTTCTTTATAGTTTGGAAACCCTCCAATCTTTATTGTTGCTCTTTTTGCTTCATAGTTGATTTTTTTTCCCACATTGATTTTTTTTTCTGATTTCCTCCTTAAAATTTCATTCTAATTCATAGTATTTTTTTCAGACTATTTGGGCATTTTTGTGAACAGAAAAATGTAAATCTCTATGAATTAACAATTCGATTTTTAAAAATATAGAATGCTTTGGTACTTTCTCTTCAATATCCATACTTTAACAACCAATAAAAATTGCAAAGGCTGTGTTGGAGAATCACTTTTTTTTGGAAACTTCGTCTCAATCGAAGACGTTCTGAAAATGTGAATATTGAATCTTTGTAGGATGCTCTCAATTCATATCTTCTGAGAGTGCGCAACAAAAACAGTTGTTTTAGAATTTATCAATTTATTTAGCATGTATAAGATTAGTATTAATAAGGAAGAATAATAGGAATTAATGAGTACAATTAAAAACGACATTTGAAGCAATTTCCACGTTTTCCCTTTGGTTTCTGGTTCTCTTTAAAATCGGATCCTCCAAATCGAACTGCTTGAAGTCGTTGCTGTTTGTACTCCTCGATTACCATCAACTGTTGACGACGTTTCTCCTCGGAATCCTTCATTCTAGCAGCTTCAACAGCTTTTCTTCGTTGAAAGTCTCGGGCGATTCGTTTTTGCTGTTCATCGCGAGTAGTTTGAGTTGAGATAGATTGGTGACGTCGCGCTGGTCCTTCTTTGGTAGCCGTGAGTGATTTCGGTTTTGGAGCAGAAACAATAGGGGTGGTTCTCTTGCAAAAGATGAGCTCCTCGATAGCCTCTGTGTTCGGTCGCTTTCTTGATTCCGTTTACAATTGTGGTAGGTGGTGCAACAGCAGACTTTTCAAGTCTATTACAGATTGCGACTAGTCTTCTAGCAGCCTCTTTTGCACTCGGGTGCATGATGTACCTAGTGGCGAGCATCTTGATGTTGTACTGTCGAAGAAATTGAAGAGAAGCATTCAAATCAATTAGTAGCTCCAATGATCCTTGGATGTTGGTAACAGACTGAAAATTAGACGAAAGCATTCTAAGGGCATCGGCCATAGTGACAGCTGGGCGAGTAATAGAGCTCATTGTCAGCAAATATATGAGAACGGAGATAGGAGTGTAGTACGACTCGAATGAGGGATAAGGATTTCTCGGGCTTATATAGATGTTTATGGCCACGCCCCTCATGGTGCGCAATGCAACGCGCGCTTCTGGGAAATTGGTTAGATGACGTGGAATTTTTCGACGTACCGGAAGTGAAGGCAGGGTACCGGAGTTGAAGGGGACTGTAAACTATGTTGATGACAATTATGTTTACTGTCAACTTTTATTGCTTTGCTGATGGGATAGAAGATATGGAGAGCATTTGGAATGATTAGGTGAAGGAGAGAATGAAACATAGCAGAATACAACAAAGGTGAACAAAAACTTCAATTACTTGAATGTGAAAATAATTTGTCTCGATACTCACCCATTGATTGATTCTTCAGTATTGAATATTCGACTTCACGTACATGCGTGAAGTCGAATATTCAATTTTTGGAACTTCTGAAGTTCCAAAAAATACAACTACTGTAAAAACTCTGGATTATGAGGAATAGAACTTGAATATCCGCAGAACTGAGAAATCGTAATGATATTCTCTGTTACGATAAATATTAGATACGCTTTGACAAATTCTAGAAAACGTTGATTCTGAAAACGTTTTTTTTCCATTTTTTAGCAACCGTACAAATCTTTATAATACATCTTTTTAGGCGTCTTACTGAAATGAATACTTCTCAGAAGTTTTAAGACTTCGAAATTTTTTCCAAATTCAATCAAAAACTCGAATGCTTAGTTCTGCTCGAACTCCAAATGTGCAATAGTTTTCCAACATTTTCTAACGTTCCGTGTTTGGAACTTTCAAAGTATTCATTTTGGGAATGAGGAGTGTGAACCTATCGTTATCGCAGTTCATTGTTAATTTTTTCGAGTCAAAAAGATGAATAGTCACAAAGATTTAGACGTTCCTTCACCTGTTATACTCACAATCACTTCATTTGATATTACTTTTTTGTTGTGTTGTTTTTTATTAAAAATAACAAAAAAAGTAACTCGGTATAAAAACTACGAACTGATATGACAAGTGAAGAGAAAAATGAGAATTCCTTTATTTTCTGTTTTCGTTTCATGCTATGGTCTAGATCTTCCAGAACCATTCGATTTCATAGAAAATGCCATTTTGAAGTAAGTCCAACATTTTTGTGAATCAAAACTCATTATAGAATCACACATTCAGCTATGTAAACCATAGTGTAGATCCTTGCGACAACTTCTATCGTTATGCATGCTCTTTCGATATCCCGGGTTCGCCAATAGAAAATTCTGTTGCAGACATATACATATAACTATGCTAAAAAACTTCAAAACAACTCTTTTTGGAACAAGTTAGAAATCACTGTGAGGCGGAGGTGCTTATTTCTCAAATGTTTTTATCGTGTTTAGAATGAATTTGATTTGGAAGACGAACTTTATTTGATAAATAACGATGAGTCTGCAGCTGAGTTCTATACGAATGTATTTCAAAGAGTGTGAGTAAAATTCGAATTAACAAAAAGATAAGTAAGTATTGCTTTTCCAGATGTGACATACGGAATGAATCGGTTCCGGAATTTCTTGAACTTACTGATATACTTTCGACTTATCCAAACAAACACGTATATGAAAGAAATAGAACAAAGAGAGCAATATTCTATGAAGATTGTGAAGTATTTGCATCTAAATTAAAAAATATGGTACTTCAAAATTTATCAAAAACCGAATCCGCACTATATGTACTTCGGTTGTGTAATAGTGTTGAAATTGTGATTTTCAGTGGAATCTAGCATTTGGATTTTTTCGACACATTCGGGATCTTATAAAGCTGCTCAAAAATATCACTCTTCATTTGGATGTGGACATCAGACATAGACGGAGTTAGAGAGTTGGTAAAATCGACGGTGGAAGTTGCTGAAAGTCTTGAGAAAGTGAGCTTTCTGATACCTAACAAGGGAACCATGTTTAGCCTTTATCTCAGAATTTTTTCTAAATTCGCTCATTTATAGTTTCAAATACGGGTTTTTTTTATGTATTTGGTTTTCTGCACAAATTTCTAGAAGACGAGTTAGGGCTGTTTAAGTGATTTCAGTACTAATTTCTCACTTTTGGAGTGAGTTTTTGAAAGGGTTAATGGGAGTTTTTTGGCATTGTTTGAATGTCAATCACAATTTTAAAGCTTTCTCTACAATCTGACAAAGTTTCCTCATTTTTCAAAAAAAAAATTTTTTTGAAAAAATTTTTGCCATGACCCAAGAAATACCAAAGAAATTTTCAATTTTTCAAAAATTTAAAAAAAAAACTTTTAAACAAAAAGTTTCAGTTTCAGGACACCCCTTGGGCAATAGATGAGCACGTGGTTGCTAAAATTGAAGACATATCTTCCCAGCTCAAGATTCATGACAACTATGGAAAAGATTTTCAACTTGCCGTTGATATTTTAGTCAATGTCGAAAAATCAGTTGTACTGTATGAATCAATGTTTGAGTTTCTTGAACACGCAGATCTGTTATGTTACCTGATTGGATCCAGGACTACTACATTCCCAAATCTTCATCCACTTTTAAACAGTGATACTGACAATTGTGCGCCTACGCTGTTTCGTTTTGTAGCGTGAGAAAATTAGAATTGCTCCCAATTTGTACATTATTATTCAGGGAATGAATTTTCACGTGGTTACAGGGCTGAGCGAGCAATCGGCTTTCGCCGGAAACAAATTGCGAAACACACGCATATCGCGAAAAAAGTGGGCGGAGAAAACGCACCAACAAAGTATAGTGGCCGGCGGAACCCGGGAGGTGTCGGCCGCTGCGGGGAATGACTACCCGACAGCGCGTAGTTGAAAAATAAATCAAATTTCAAATTCCCGCCATTTTCGTGTCGAGCCCCTTCGGCGAAATTGCGTGCGCCTTTATTCTCGTTTTGTACATCAAACGAGAAAATTTTGCAAAACGTTAAGGTTTTTCTCCCGTCCTCGCCCACCCCTGCGAGGTTATTAAAGATTATAAAGTATAAGATGGACATTCTGCCAATAATGTCAGGGTGAATGTAAATGCTCAACATCCGGCATTCCAAAAAGCTTTCAATTGCCTTGCGAACTCTAGAATGATGATGACAGCTACCAAACAATGTCACACATATGGGGATAAAGCGCCAGACACGCGGAAACGGAGACATTAAATTTGTTTCATTTTGTGAATTTGCTCTTCATTTGATGAAAATACAGTATCAATCAATAAAATATACGTAAATGTGTATATCAGTTCATTTCGACCATTTTCAGGAGTCTGGAGATCGGTATCAAATGTTCGAAAACTCTGAAAATTTTAGAGGATGTAAAACAGGCTTACATTAGATTAAAAACTTTGCGTTCACAGAAGTATTTGAAAATCCCTAGTTTTTCAACTACTTACCGATTTCTAATCAATTATAGTTTTAGATTGAACTTCCGATACAGCATATGCAATTTTTTAATTATTCACTGTCATTCACTGTTACTTTTGCAAGGTTTTTTGTTTGCCGAACCAAGTTCCTGTGTAGATAATTCGAATCTACCTATAGCAATAGAGTATCTTTTCACTTTTATTCGTTTCAATGCCATTTGGTTCCAAACGTCAAGAAGAAGTTCTTTCCGTTTTCATCAATCTTCCCATTTAGTGTTTATGTCGACGGTATTTCTTGACGTTACCATCCTCCTCCACTTCTTTCTCAATTATTCGCTACAGTTATCAGGAAAACAGTTTTGAGAGAATATCAACAGATATTCTTCTCCCGTTTTTTCTATTTTTTTTTCCACATTATTCAAGGATAGTTATTCTTTGGTATTATTCTAGATAAGTTTTGCGTGTCGGTCGCAAACATTTTGCTTGTTTGTATAGTATCAATTAGTTCAATCCGTTCGGTAACCTTGAGACTGGAAGGAATGAATAAAAAAATTGAATTTCTGAAAAATCACATTCGCGAAAAAAAGAGTTCGAATAGAACATAAAATTCAAATAGTTCGCTTCTCTATCTAAAAATGGTCCTTTTAAAATTCAATTGACAAAGCCCCCATAAAAGTACTTGCAAGAGGAATTGAAATTTTTGTCAGTAGTCTCATTATTTTCCAGAACATTACATTCAACCTCCAACTCATTTTTCAACATCATTTGAATTTTTTTTTGTTTCCAAACATTATTCTCTTCATAACTAAAAAGACCAAAGACGACGTCCTCGCTTCTCTCTATCATGAGAAATTAAACACTTATCCATACTCCCCTCTTTTTCTGTGTGTGAACGTGATGATGTTGCAACACGCCACCAGGAGCCATGCTTTCTCATTCTGTCAGCATAGGGCATGAGAAGACGAGAGTGCATGCAAGGGCAAAAAATATCACTTTGTAACGAGATGCCCTAGAGAATTAAAGCTGAGCAACGCGACGCGGTCACGTCGCGTGCTTAATCTTGCTGGATTTGGTATACCTGTCATTGAAACAGGGTTTATTAACGGTTTTATGACATACAAAACGAGAACATCGTGTACGTTTAAGGATACACTACAGTTACGTGTTTTTTCTGTGAATTGGCGGTTGTTGTTTAGGGTTTCTTCGCAACTACTTTGTTCTTTAATCGAATTTTTTTCTTCCGTTTTCGCGAATCTTCGCCGCATCTCTTATTTTCCAAAAAATTGTGTCGTTTCAGATGTGTAAAAGAAAGAGTGTTGAGATTGACGTGGTGAGTGTGATCGGAGGCGTTGAGAGAGACAGAGACAATAATTTTGATGACAGTGAAACTGAGAGCGAAAGTGACAGTGACAGTGACAGTGAATCTAGTGATGAGAGTGACAGCGGCAATGAAATGGACAACGAAGTTCACGATGAAGTGGACGGCGACGTTTACGACGAAGTGGACGGCGACGTTCACGACGAAGTGGACGGCGACGTTCACGACGTACTGGACGGCGAAGTTCCCGACGAAGTGGACAACGAAGTTCACAGAGAAGTGGACGTCGATGAAAACTATGAGACGGCACCTATGGATGGATCTGGAGTCAGAAAACGGAGACGCACTGATGCTGTTGACGTGGAAGCTGAGGAAATAGAGGCGAAGAGAGTTGAACTTGAGTAAGTGATAAATGTTGTTGTCGATGTTGTCATGGTTTCACCTGTTAACAAGCCCATTTTAACTCATTTTCGTTTTATTGTATAATTTTCAGGACATGATAGTCAAATCGGTCTTTTGTCTAAATCGGTTTTCCCGTATATTTGATTTCTAGAAGATTTGTTATAACGACACATCAAATACAAACTATTCAAATTTAAAGTTCGGCATAGTTATAGCACTTCATATTCACGCTAACGTCAAACTTATAAAAAAATTTGACATTCACAAAATTTGACTTGGGCTCCTAAGGCTTGATATCAAAAAAGAAAGTTTCTGAAAAATATTTTTTATACTACAGTATAAAATTTACTCGTTGACAATTTTTTCACATATTTCCTAGTAACAGAAAATAACGGATCGAAGTTAAAAGTTAGGGATCTTTCTATTATACGTTTTACGGTTGTTTTTTACTCGAATAAAAAAGATGTAGTATCATTATCTCTGAGACTTTCGATTTCTTTTGAACAATAGTATATGCCATAAAACCTGTATTAAAAGAGTACTTCTAGTAGAAACGAAATCCAAGAGGGCTTAGAAAAATACATAACAATATTCCAGGATATCCACGTTTTTTCAGAAATTCATTGAATACCTTTTCCGCTCAAAAACGTTCAATTTTTGTAAAATTGATAGGTTCACACTAATTTACCAAATGTAACTGTTTTAATGAAAAAATTAGGAAAAGATAAAATATAAGGTCTCCTGCAATAGGAGAGCCCTCCGCAAATAGCTTTAATAATGATTGCTGTTCTCCAAATTCTAAAAAAGGATATTATAAAATTACCGCTTCCTTATTCATTCTCCTCCTTTTCCCGTCTTCCGATTCTCTGGATTTCAGTATTTTGTTTCCTGCTGGTCTCTTGTACAGAGCATACAACCTCGCTTTTTTTTTCACAAAAAAGTATACATCGTCTTATTGTAGGCAATCTCAAGAGCAGCACGACATTGATGAAGTACGCAAAGCATCCATGCAACGTCGTGAATACAGATTAAACTTCACCATTGACAGATTCTATGCGTTAGCCGATGATTACCCAAAAGGCACTTATCAAGAATTCATGTAATATCTCACAGTGTATTCCGATTTTCTAATGATTTTCTTTTTCAGTAGGGATCAGGATCCAGAATATATTTTCAAAGTGCGGTTTTATCCAAATGGCGACGAGATATATTCAGGATTAATGATCAATCTGATTGTGAATAGAAAAGTCCCCTTGGCTGCTGGAGAGAATAGCCATGCTTATTTGGAAGTAATGAATACCTTGTTTCTGAACGGATCTCAAGTGCGTTGTATCTTAGACTCACAAAATAACAGTCTAACGTACAAAGAAAAAGTCGATTTGCGCGCCCCAATCTGTTATACCAATGCACCATCAAGAGATGCGTTCAATGTGAGTTCCTTTTGTTTTTTGGCCAGAATTGAAATTTTTGTTTTAGAATTTTCCAATACAACAGAAAAGGGAAGCCTCATTTATGTTTTGCTGGAACTTGACTATGTTCTGCAATTCTTTTGCCCCCCTCACATATGAAACGTCAATGGGATTCTTTTAGCGCATTTCCAAGACTCATGTTAACAATCATTCACTGAATATAGTTTGTAGAGCATCCCTGCCCATAGAGCAAGCCCTTATCCATACACACATGTCTACATATACACTTATATCCTTATATTCTAACAACTGTTTTTGTGAATTCTCATCCCTCTTTACTCAAGAAGCAGATCATTTAAGCCCCCTTCATCACTGTACCTGTTCAATTATTTATTGATGCATCCACCCGACTTTTTCAAAAATAGATTCATTCGAATCTATGTGCCCTGTTATTTTTTAATACTCTCATACCCATACACTTTTATATTATCACTTCAAATATTCGTCTACTCATATATTCATCAATCCATTTTAATCCAATAATACTGTATCGATTCTTTACCACTATAATCAAAAATCTAATTGTCCCTTTGTCACGTATCATTTATCCTTAACACCTGTGAACCACGATATGTAGATATCCAACCAAACTATCCTTCTAACTATACCTCCTTTTTTTAGACACACCTTACCTTGTGACTTAATTTTCCATTTCTTAATTATTCAGATACGTCCTCCACCGTTTGATTCATATGTTTTATTCTTATATACTCCGCCTGATTTAACACTTATCTTATCTAACATAATATTTATATCATATATCCGAATAAATATTTGTCGTATTCAACATATGCATAAAGAAAAGAAATTAGAAACAAGAGCAGTCCCCAAAAATGCCCCATTGAATTTTTTTAAATACTAAATCTGGCACTCAAAGTAAGAACTGTGCGACTTCAAAACCGCGGATGTATTGTGAAAAATTCTTATTTATAGAATCTAAACTCCTGTTTTGTTTATTAAAAGCGGAGGAGATTTAAATATTAATTTTCTGAAATCTCGTTCATATTCACCTTTCGAAAAATTGACCTTGTGAACTGGAGGTGCCGCTCCACTCACAGCTCAGGAACGGTGGCGGAATCAGAGGCGGTCAAACAAAGGGACATATAAAGCGGGACGATGGCAACGAGTTCTGTGAGCACTAAACACTATTCACCGTAACGTCAGAATGCATACTGTTGTTCCAGAAAAACTCCGGAAAATGTAATGTCTCAAATAACTCTGAATTTTTTAAGAAGATTCAGAAAATTCCAGACTATTGTATTTCACGAACTCAATTCGCTGACTAGTTCAAACGGTAGGATTCAAAGTACGAAGTTTAGTTGACAAAAAGCAGAAACAGAGGGTTAACAAGACCCCAATTATAACTGTTTTGTATTTCTTGAAATATTCGAATTGAATTTCAATGGCTGAACTGTTTTTTTTTTGTAAAATAAGGAGCATTCAAAGACCAACCACCCCCCCCCCCCCAATGCCATAAGTTTCGAGGGTTAGGTTTTTCTCTCTCATATTCAAATAAGTGACGTGAATATAGATAAAAGTTTTCACACGGAATGTTGAAATTATGATGGATAAAATCACAAAATGCAACGGTTGCATAGATATGTTCACTCATGCATTTTTTGAATAACAGAAAACACTGTCCGACATCTAGATAATTATAGATTTTTTTTAGTTTTTAGAAGTGTGAATTTTTTTATGGCAGTTAGTTGAGAACAATTGAGATTTTAACATTTTCTGTGTAGTTAGTGTACTGAAAAGTTTTCAGATGAGAATTTGTATTTACAAACTCAGCAAAATGTATTAAGAGGTAGCACATATTAGGCTCTTTGTGGTAAGGCGGCCTATGCTCGTGAGAAAAAATAAAACCCTTATCATAAAGAGCCGATATTGTATATGAAAATCCAAGGTATCCAATTATGCAATGCGACAAGAAATATCTTACTTCATCTGTTGACTTTTCGTCTATATCATTTGAGTATGATAACAGAGTTGCACATGCACGAAATTGGGAATCCCGTTTTCTCGGTTTTTTCGAAACTTTTCGAAAATTTAGGAATCGTCCCAATTTTTTTTCAGGAATTTCTCCTGAGAGAAAATTATTTGAAAATTTGTAGAGATATGAACAAAAACTAACATACATTTTAGAAAAAATAGGCAGAAATTTTTAAAAACCTATTCCTGATCTTTAACGATTTCCCAAAAGCTACCGAAAAAAATTTCGAGAACAACAACTCCTGGAAAGGTGCTTTTGAACAAGTTCAAACTTTTAATTAATACTGAAAAACACTCTGATTAATTGAATTTTAGTTTTAGTATTTTTTTTTCACTGCTACTTTTCAAAAAACGAAATGCAGGACATTATTCAAAAATGATACATAAATTAGAGATGATTTATAATTTTTTCAAATATTCAATCTGACATGTTCGAAAATTATCTTTAAAACCGATGTAGACACAGCTGCTTTTGAATGACATCAGCAACATTTTCTGATACACACGGATTGTGTTCCGATTCTCCGCCCATATTTATTTAGCGATTTTTTTCCAAATTAATATTTATGACACGTGACCACAAAGAAACGCACTCTGATTCCATAATTTGAACTTGCTGATTCTCTGCAAATACTACGACACTACATCCTTCCCAAGATATAAAGTGATGAAAATGTTTACGTATTTTTTGCAGAATGTTTTTCAGAGATTATCATCATCCAACCGCTAATTAGGATTTCCGTTAAAACACTTCCCTTTTGGTATGTGCCTGGTCCAACGTTTTCCGGTCTTTGAAATCAAAGATCTTCTGATTTTCCTTAAAGAACTTCCTTACAGCCACTATAAATGTCCCCTCTCACCAATAATTAGAATTTTCTGAAATAATTTCCATTTAGTCACTCTAGGAACTAAATCAACTACATTGTTTTCCAATGCAAATGTTCATGGAGTTGACAATATAATTTGCTAGACGTTTCCGTGTCACGTAGACTAAAAAGAAACTAAAATAGATCTCTGTTGAATGTTCCGTACGTCAAGAAAACCTCTCTCGTTTTTTTTTCTCACGAGGGCACACAACTCATAATTGTAGCATAATGAAATGAGATTTTGTTGGCAGGGGCGATGAGAACTCAAAATGTGCGGCTTACATCATTCCTGTGTAAGAAACAGCTTCCAGAGTGTGTAGTTCGGTTTGTTTCAGTTTATTATGATTTTAGTTGCTTACAAATTACAGATGCATTTTCACATTGTATAGTTTTAATGAGGTATTGAGATTTGTATTTTAAAACTTCCAAAATATTTTCCATATAATTTTGGAAGTGGTATACTGCTTAGTAAAACTGACGTTTCTGAAAGTAAGTTTTAAAAATTATGACAATTTTAATAGTGTGAGATACCAAACTACCGTAAAACCTGTATATGAAGGGCCCTTCTGATGGAATAACCTTTTTATAAAAATGGGCTCTCCGAGAGGAGCTTGGAAGAATTGGAGGACACTCTAGTCGTTCCAAATAAAAAAATCAGTTTTTTTATGTGTTGAAAAATTTGGAAATTTTAAATATTCACGTGAATTAGTTGACACACTCTATTTGCTTAAAATCTTGCTCAGTGAAACTAGCAGATTTTTATAAATTTTGAACGAGAGTTCACCGATTTTCTGACGAAATTTTTATGAAAAATTGGCTGAAAGAATAGAAGGGCCTTCTCTAATTGAAGGGCACCTGTAACATGATAACCCTCTGAAGAAACCTTCGAACAATAAATATCTCGGCCCTTTTAATACAGGTATGCGGGTAATTGGTTCTACTTCATCCCTCTTCATAAAATCCTCAGTATGTCTCTTTTTTCTCGTCACCAATGAACTCTTGAAACTGGCTTCACTCCAAAATAGACTGAAATTTTTGAGCGCCATGAACTTTCGGGAAAATCCTTATCTACATTTTGGTTTCTCTTGAGAACAAGAAAAACTCCAGGATGTTTTTTTTCTTTGTTTCTTTTTTTTTTGAAAAAAATACCACACAAAACACGACAATCTCCTTTTCTCATTTCGAATTCCTTCGTAGTTCGTTTCCATAGAATCTGAGCTGAAGTGCTATTAGAACACCAGTAATTCCACCACTGACCACTTGTTCAATACCGCTCTTTTGTGTATTCAAACGCTTCGCGAGCCTCGCTCTTTGCTTCCAATATGAGATAATACGTGACGCTCTTTTTTCGAGTGCTGGTTGGCCTTTTACGGAAATGCATACATTTTTGACTGGTTCGTTATTATCTTTTTTCAAGTCTCTTGGTTTTGTTTTTTGTATTCTCAAACACTTTTGGGGATTTTAAATTCTTCAAAAACCCACGTTTGATTTTTCATGTTTTCGGGAAAAAAAAGAAGGAACTGATTAAATATTACTGAATCTATCAGAAAAACCCTCCTTAAAAAAACTAGACGGGTGGCATTCGAAATTTTTCCCGAATTCGTTACGTTTGTATCTTCTTTGATTTTTGCTTTTTTTGCGGTTTTTTTTTAGTTTGTACATGTTTCTACTTTTGAGTCCTATGTCACAAATTTCAACCCCGTCACTCCGGAAACGTCCAACTATTTGCAAAATTGGCTCCTTTTTAGCTGGCTAATTTTTTGCTTGCTTTTCCGCACACACACAGGTTTCTCGGAAAAAAACTCTCTCCGTGTGACGAAAAAAGCACTGAAGCTATTCAAAATTGAATTCTGATTTTTTCTTTGATTTTTGGGAAAAAAACCGCCGGCTGCGAAATTTCCAAATACAAAGTGCGTCGTTTTTCAAGTACATTTGTGATAATTTGCTTTGGGAAAAAATGTAGGAATCGTGAGAAATATGAGTGGGTTGAAAATTGAGCTTTCTTTTTGGAGAGAATTATGACTATTCAACATTCCAAGGCTAGAACTCACTCATTTCTCTTTTTTTAAGTTTTCTAGAATTCTTCATAGTCATTTTTGAAAGTGATTTTTGATAGTCATATTCTCCAACTCTAGCAGTAATTTTGAACGTCTGGACATTTCGAGTGGGGCGGAAAAGAAGCAACAAAAAAAAGAAGAACACATTTTTCAAGCGTTTTCATTTTTCTGTTTTTCGATTTTGTTTATGATGGGGGAGCATTTAAAAAAAATCTCGAAATTTTTATCATATATTGACCTCTTGAGGAGTTGAACTTGTGGGCCCACCGTTAGAAGTGATGAACCATCAACTGGGGAACACTGATTATTGTGGCTCCGCGTCACTTCGAAACCGCGACACTTCAAAACCGGTAATTTGGAAATCGCTGATTTCAAAACATTGACAATACTGGGGAATGGACAAATTTTAGACTACAAAAAACTTTTAGGTTTTTCAAATATGCTTTTTCTGATAAAACACATTCTGAAATTCGAAAAAAATTAAAATTTAATTTTTTCATAAACACTGTTTTGGAATTTTTTTGAGTTTCAGAATGTGTTCTTTCAGAAGAAGCATATAAAAACCCTGAGCGTGTTTTGTAGTCCGAAATTTATCCAATCACTTGTATTACCACGGTTTCAAAATGACTGGTTTGGAAGTGTCGCGGTTTTGAAGTGACTCGGAGCCATCATTGTACACATTCATGTCGAAATGCGCAACTTCGAAAACACGCTGAAAAATCTCCCTTCCGTTATGATTCTCCAATTTTGTAGTCTTTATAATTAGTACCTCATTTTCAACTATTTTGCAGAATGGAAAACGTGAGTCCCCTATTCCCACAGACGTCAGTGATTACGATCTCATCAAAATAATATTTCGCGATTTTACGAAAATCGTGTCGATGAAATAAAAAACTTTGAAATGTTGTCTAACAAACTGAGTAGACAGTAATCATAGCAATTAGCCATTGACGTACTTGATTACTATTGGAACCGAAAAAATGTAAGCTTGTCGTCATTAACTTTCTGGTATATAATGATAGGCTGTACAATCACATATTACCTGAGCGCTTGATTTTTGGTTGTCTCTAACTCTCACTCTCACTTGTTTATTCATTTCCCATCCGGATGTAACTCACTTCTCGTCTTTTCGGCTTCTGAATTCATCCACACGTCTCTCCCCGTTAATTTCCGGTCGAACCCGAAAACCTGTGAGTTTAACTATTGGTCGCCTACCTCTCTTCACCTCCGGGGCTTCATAATCTGTCTTTTACCGCCATTATTCTAGACTTTTGACACTTTTTTCAGGTGATTTTTTTCGATCACAAGTTTGTCTCAAGCATTTTTTTATATCTACCGTCTAAGTTTTTCTATTGACATTTGATGCTTCGC